TAACAAATATATTTGAAAATTTTCGATGATAACAATTTAATATATTCCTAACGAAAACATTTATTGGGAGCTCGCGCAGTACTTCTGTTTTTCGCCATACAAAAACGTAACTTACATCTCTGCTTATCTTGTTACAGATTGTCGTTTGTATTGGACGAATCGTGTTGAAAATCAAATACGTGGAAGTAGTTTTTCGGGTTCTGACGAAATAACAATTGCCAATTCGACATCATTACCACAATTGACAGAACCTGTTGACGTGAAATCACTTGGAGGATACCTTTATATTTTGTCAAACTCAAGTGAAAAACTAATCCGAATATCAAAGAATGGAACTAATCTGGAATATATTGGAAACAGTGTATTTTCAGGACCGGAAACTCTTATTATTCGGAGAGGTATTAAGTTGATGAGTTTTGATCTAAATATAGACTTGCAGTCGTGTTTACAACGGTTTAGTATTAATTACCAAAAATAACATTCTTCGATTAGGAACTTAACATTTATCTCTGTTTTCTTTCTATTCTCTAGTAAATAATGCAAGAATACCAACAACCTGTAAGGAACTAGAGCACGGCAGACCTAGTGGTAGGCCAGGAGGACAAGGCAGACCTGGTCAACCTGGTAGGCCTGGCAGACCGGGAAGACCTGGTGGACCAGGAGGACCAGGTAGGCCTGGTAGACCAGGACAAGGTGGATCTAGCGGACAAGGAGGGCAAGGTAGACCAGGTAGACCTGGCAGACCAGGAGGGCAAGGTAGACCAGGTGGACCTGGTAGGCCGGGAGGAGAAGGCAGACCTGGTCAACCTGGTAGGCCAGGTAGACCAGGCGGACCAGGTAGGCCTGGTAGACCAGGACATGGTGGATCTGGTAGACCAGGAGGACCTGGTAGACCTGGCAGACCAGGAGGGCATGGTAGACCTGGTAGTCCTGGAGGGCAAGGTGGATCTGCTGAGTGTGGACTTCCTAAACACGGTAGTGCTGGTAAGTTTAAGTTCAACGTTGGAAATATAATGCTGGTCAGTACTATACATATAATTCACAGAAGAGGGCGTGTCTTATAGATGTCTCGCAGTATGTCG